GGATCGATTTCACGAAAAAGCTGAAAATTGAAAACTGATCTGCTCCTTACTGACGGCAGCCTGTCTTTCTGTTTTGCTTCTAGTCTTGCCAAACCTTTGGAACGCAGAGAGCGAATTCTCTATTCCTGAACAAAAGCAAGTGGAAAACAACGAGGAGCGCGCAAACTCTTATGAAAGGAAGCTGATTGAGGTAAGAAAAAGAAGTTCCTCTCCCCTGCAGTTCTTCCAGCCTTTATGTCATAACATTGAATGATTCTTTAATCATGGCTTCTTCGGAAGGGTAGCATTTGTTTTACAAACAAGGGCACGATCTTGTGTCTTCTGTGTCAGCTAGTGTTTTTTTTTTTCCAAAAGGGAGGATTTATTGCATTCTAATTGTCAGGGATTATTACGCCCGCAGCGATGTTTTTACATACAATTTGGTTGATGTCCTCAAACCATGTAGCTTTTCCTACACAAAACTACCTCGGACAGCTAGGAATTATGGGAATCTCAGTGACACACACACACACACACACACACACAAAATATTAATATAAGTGGAGACCCTCAAGTTAGTTACTGAGGCTACATCCCTAAGATTCTACACCATTGACATCAGGTCTGTAAGAGGAAAAAAAATCAGAGGTTTGGACAGGAGTTGAATGTTAATTTTCAAACTTCGTAGCAATGGAACAGCTTGTTTCCAGAAATCCTGAGTGCTCCATCACTGGAGATTTTTAAGAAGAGGCTAGACAGTCACTTGTCTGAGATGGTATAGGTTCTCCTGCTTGAGCAGGGGGCTGGACTAGAAGACCTCCAAGGTCCCTTCCAGCTCTATTCTATTCTATTCTATTCTATTCTATTCTATTCTATTCTATTCTATTCTATTCTATTCTATTCTATTCCATTCTAATTCTATTCTGTATTTCTATTCTATTCTATTCTATTCTATTCTATTCTATTCTATTCTATTCTATTCTATTCTATTCCATTCCATTCCATTCCATTCCATTCCATTCCATTATTCTATTCTTTTCCATTCCATTCCATTCCATTCTATTTTCTATTCTATTCATTCTGGAGTGCTCCTGTAGGTAACCTGGAATCACATAGTTTGAGTCGATGGACCTCAAACCGTTTCCTCCGGATGGGAATTCAGATCAAAGCCTTCCTGACAGATGGCTACTTAGCCTCTACTGGGACCATAATACCCATCGTACCGATTCCTCTGTCTACCACTAGCGAGCTTTTTTTCTAAAATTCGGTGGCGGACCTCATCCATTGTTCTGTGCTGGAGCCAGAGAAGGCAGGGTTGATCGACAGGATGACCCCGTAGAATGGGAAAGCAGAATGTGGCTTCTTTTGTGAGTTTTGCCGGCCTTTTAGAAGGCCGGATGCTCTTCATAATGGAGCTTTATTGATGGTTGAATCAGGAAACTCATCAGGCTTCAAACGCGCTATTGAATCAGAGCTGATCTTTGAGGTGACCCAGTGCACGGCTTGATGAGGCCCAGGGAGAGAAACCTGGTCCTTTGTTTCTTAGAGCAGAGAATAAAAGATGAGGAAGAGGAAAGGTTGAAAAGCCGATGCCCTGGATTGTATAAGTCTCCTCCCTTCTTCTCCTTCGTTTCTTTGTTCTTCTCTTTCTTTCTTTCTTTCTTTCTTTTTTTTTGTAACTTCCTGTGATTTCACCGGCCTGGCTTCAAATCCTAGGTAGGCAAACCGGTCACTTATTTCCTGTTCACTTCTTGGCATGATCAAGGGCCACAGGTAGTCCTGGACTTAGCAACATTTAGTGATTGTTCAAAGTTACAACGGTACTGAAGAAAAGTGACCAGTTTTCACCCTTATGAAAATCCCCCTTAAATTCCTCCAGTGATGGAGCACCCACATCTTCTGGAGGCAAGTCGTTTCACTGGTTAATTGTTCTATTTGTCAGGAAATTTCTCCTTAATTCTAGGTTGCTTCCCTCCTTGATCAGTTTTCCATCCGTTGCTTCTTGACCTGCCCTCAGGTGCTTTGGAGAATAGGTTGACTCCCTCTTCTTTGGGGCAACCCCTGAGATATTGGAAGAGTGCTATCATGTCCGCCCTACTCCTCCTTTTCATTAAACTAGACATAAATGAATAGTAGAAAATACTTAGAATAGAATAGAGCTGGAAGGGACCTTGGAGGTCTTCTAGTCCAGCCCCCTGCTTGAACAGGAGAACCTATACCATCTCAGACAGGTGAATGTCTAGTCTCTTAAAAATCCCCAGTAATGGAGCGCCCACGATTTGTGGAGGCAAGCTGTTCCACTGGTTAATTGTCCTCACTGTTAGGAAGTTTCTCCTTAATTCCAGGTTGCTTCTCTCTTTGATCTAGATTATCTGTCACTCATCTCGCAATTCTCTCTCTCTCTCTCTCTCTCTCTCTCTCTCTCTCTCTCTCTCTCTCTCTCTCTATATATATATATATATATATATATATATATATATATGTTAATTATAAGGTGTTTTTGCATATATATACAGTATATAGATGATAGATAGATAGATAGATATAGATATTTTCTATATATATATAGAAAAATCACATATATATTTTCTATATATATATAGAAAAAATACATACACACACACACATATATATATATGATTTTTCTATATATATATACAGAAAATATATATGTTATTTTTCTATATATATGTATAGAAAATATCTATCTCTCTATATATGCAAAAACACCTTATAATTAACAAACAAAAATATCTGATGCACAGCTGTCCTGGCGGGAAGGGACACACCGAACAATGGATAAATTGTTATGAAATGTGTTAATCATAATGATGTAGAGAAAGCCGATAACAGGACTCTGGTCCAATCAGACGTTTTACGTAAATCATTTTCAGAGCCGAACTTCCAATAGCCTATAATTATATCAGGAAATTTGGTATGTGGGCACCGGAGTTCAGCGGGCAATCAATCACAGA